TTAGAAGTACATTAATAATTGTCCTTTTTTGTAATTTGACTCTTAAAAGCACTTTTTTTTAAAATTAGATGAACACAATTTGCTAATGAAAAACACTTTTCAAATGAATTAGTCAAATAGATATTGTTTTTTTTTTTCAGAAGCACTTTTCTAAAAAGTCATTTTGAAAAAGTACTTCTAAAAATAAGTTGTTTTTAGTAGCAATGTCAAGCAGGCTCTAAATCAATCCTAGTTTTAAGGAATGTGAGTATCTGATTGTATCTTCTATAATATATATATATATATATATATATATCTTAATTACTTGTCCACTTTTTCTTTTTTAGTTGTCCCTAATTACTTGTCTATTTTGACAAATCAAGAAATGACAATTTTTTTTTACCAATTATACCCTCAATTAATTAATTTAAAAAAAGTAGAACTTTTTGAAAATCTTAAGTTTTTTAATTCATTCAATTCATAAGTAATAGGGGTAAAATGGTAAACTCATTATGTCAATCATTGTTTGTTTTAATAAGTGTGTCGATTCAAAAGTGGACAAGTAATTGGGGAGAAGGAGTATTTCATATTAAACACACATTTGGTGGATGAACATTTTCTCTTATGAAAATTCTGCAAGTAAAATAAGTCATACAAAATCAATTAAATTCCAGATTTCATCTACAACACTCAATCTAGTAATTACAATAAATGGTGCAAATTGCAAAACTCACTTACAGAAAGTTAATACTATTAAATGACTACCAATATAACTCTTCCAAATGCAAAAAAATAAACCCTAACACAACCATTAACTCCATCAAAAACAAAAATTGACCTAGCCATATGTAATTTATTTTCTAAACCATGCTTAAAAACATAGAGCTAACAAAAAACAATGTCAATAACATGTCCTTGCACGACCACGTACACTTGAATAATGAACCAGCATTGCTAGAAGTAGCAGGATTTTTAGCGGGATAACCAGGAATATTAGGAAAACTCTTATAAGGATCAGGAGAAGGAGGAGGAGGTGTTTCTGGATCCACGGGTAGAATCCTTGGCATATCGATTTTGATTTGAAATCTGAGTCCCGATGCACAATGACCAGGAATATCACACATAAAGTAGTATATGCCCGGTGTTTCAAGTGTGAGTGTATCGCTGCCCGTGTTGAAGCTAGCCATTGGGTTATGATCCGTGCAATCGTTGTAGTTCTTCTTGTCTACTTGCCTTACGTTGTGAAAGTGTGGATCGTAATTGAAAACTGCATGTCAAATAATATATCGTTACTTCTACTAACATTAAGGGGTGGTTTAGTAGAATGTATAAAACCAAAAATATTACCAAATATGATGCTAGTTAGGTTAGTTTTAATATATGAATAATTAATTACTTTGAACCAATAGTTAAAGGATCCCTAAGTGATCTAGTGCAAGAAAATTCAAGTTAATAAAAAATAATGAACAAATGCCTTAAAACGATTAGGTGGTCACAACAACTCAAGAAATAAACAACAAAACTTTTTACAATATTATTGTTACAAACTTACAATGCACAAATCGATGGAAATAACAAAAAAGATGGGTACTTCTTACAAAATAACTAATCGTATTCACTATTTATTTTTTTAATCGATATATATTAATTATACACTAATTATATACATATTATACGTGCATGGATTATGTATATTTTATATAATGATAACAGTTTATTTTTAATTTAAGCTGTTGAATAGTTATTTTGATAGAAAATCTTACTGAGAGCATCGCCAAGTTGAAAATGCTTTGAAGCGGCCCATTGTTCATAGTTGTAGTTGAAAGTCCATCCCGAAGAATCACCAACTTCATACACAGTCGCCGTAGTAGATCCCAAAGTAGACATCATCACCACCAATATGACCAGCAATATTGGTTTTCTAAAGAAAGCCATAACTACACTTTTACGACGGCTAACAAAGAATTAAGATTTCTGAATCTGAATAGTAGTGATTTGATAAAAATGAGCTTATGAGGTTCTCAAGGGAGGCTTTTATAGTAGTAGTTAATTATTTAAGGTAACAGACATACTGTTTTTTGAAAATAAAATTGAAGTTCCAATGAAACCAAGGTAAACTAAACATATTGCCAAAAAAAAAAAAAAAATACCTACCATATTTTTTTATTTTTTTTAATTAATGGAGTGTAGCATGGTATGTGTTTGTGTTAATTGTTTTGTACCCTTAGGTTTTCTTTGTACATACGTTGAAAGTTTCAATATGGTAATTAATAATTGTTTCTAAAACTAACGTTGTTGACCATAAATAAATAATTTCAAGGGTTAAAATACCCAAGTGCCTTAATAATTTTATGAAAATCTTTCTTTTCCTACTATATTTATAATTTATGTTTCGTGATACTTAATTAAGTACTTATTACTTTATTTCCATAAATTAAGAAATCGATATTAAAATAACATAATTTGTTACCTAGTAAAATATAATTTTCGGGCGGTTACTGCTATTATTATTTGGTTAAATTATGAGAAGATAGTATTTATTGTATTTCAACAGAAAAAAAAAGAAAAAAAAAGGGGGTTTTGCCTGACCTCGAATATCCTACTCCAAAGAGGGCTTTCAACTAACCAAAAAAATAAAATAGTTTTGTCATATCTAGTCCTTAGACTAGGCATTTGTTGTTTATCCAAATAACTAGTGTCCGAACATATGTATTGCACGTGTATTTTATCGATAAATTAAATATAAATATTATAAAGATATATAATGTAATATCAGTGTCACAATCCAAAAATAGACGTGATAACACTCGTCTAAATCCACCAAAATAAATCAACCTCAAACCTAACAACACAAAAGAAATGCGGAAAATAAATTAACAAAAGCATAAGTGCGGAGAACTTACCCTATTTCATAGACATCCAAAATCTAATTGTCAATTGTACAAGCCTCGATGTATGAAAACATAATTGAAAGATAGATACAAGTTTCGATGTTTTGTTTCTCGAATAGTACAAAACATAAAATAGGGAATAAGAGGGCCCGCCGGGATGACAACTAACTACCTCTCAAAATCCTCTGAAAATGTCTCAGAGAAAGATGAAGAAGAATGATCACACGGGTCCGGGCTCGGAACCTATACAAGTGTAGAAGCAAATAGTGAATACCAAACAATACGGTACTCAGCAAGCAACCCACTAAACAAGATAAAACTAAGCTAGAATATGAATACTCCTTTCATCCCAACAGAATCGCCTCAAGTACAACCTACAGAGAAATCATTCCAACCTAACAGTTTACAATACACATCTCACAAGGCTTAACAATCATAGTCCAACAGTCACAGTTCAACAATTAACAAGTATCAAATTAATCAATTACAAGTATCAAGTATGTCAATCATAAACATCAATTATCTCAATCACAAGTATCAAGTTCATCAAATCACAATAGTCAAACACTTGCCAGAACCATTTTTCATCGGCACAATACCACTCGTCAGAACTATTTCCCATCGTCTTTACATGATGTCACTCGCCGGAACCATTTTCCATCGATTCATGATGTCACTTGTCGGAACCATTTTCATCAGCATAATCACCACATGTCTCGTCACTGTGTACATAAATCAATGCAAATAAGCAATTTCACACAAGAAAGAGACGATACACTCAAACAATTCAAGTCCACAATAATGCCATCAAAGGATTTCATCAATCAACAAATTAGGATCAATATCAAGGCAATTCACAAAACACAACTATCAACATGTTGCCTTTTTCATTTAATCCCCTTTGCAATCATTAAAATCAATTAAAATAGAGTAATTGAACTCATCACCTCATTCTTATTACTCCCCAACATACACAAGGAAGGGAAATACAAAATTCTACAAATTTTACAAGGTTTAGAAGTTCACTTGGCTTAATTCAATCAAAAGTCAATCTGAGACTTGAAGTTTTCCTTTCTGAACGATATCCAAAGCCACACAATCTAATCCAACAAGTAATCAAACATGAATCCGAGATCTCCTTGACCCGAAATCCGTGAAAATCACAAGAAACAATCATAGCACCTAAACAGGGTAAATCAAGCTCAGGACATCTGAAAATTCAACCAAGACCTATCCTAAGCCTAAATATTTTCCCAAATCCAACGGAACTGTCGAAATTCTGATTTGAGCTTTCGAACCCCGAATGTTGGCCAAAGTCAACCCCAACCCCATAAATGCACCCCTAGATCATGTGGTTTTAGCCACCATTCATAAAAAGCAAAGAAATTATACCTTCCATGAAAGCAATCATGGGTAGCATGATATTAAGAAATTACAAACAAACCCACTTTGCATTCAACTTTAATTTATCAAATTCAAGAGCAAAGTTGAAAAATCCCAAAAGCTAGAAAGTATTCTTCACAAAATACAAGTGTTTCTTTCAAAACTCAAAATATTTCTCTCTTTCTAATCTCCAGAACTTTCTTCATTTCTCACTATTTCTCACTCTTTCTAATCTCTAGAACTCTCGAAATATTTATAGTTTTTCAAAATTTTACCCAAAAACTCAATGTGTGACTCATAATTCGGCTACATTACTCAAACTCGTCGAGCTCGTTCGGTGAATCGTCTCTTGTGCTTCAGTTCGTCTTTTCATGCTCTGGGCTTCAGGTGTTTGAACCTCAGTCGACGAACTCATTTGAGTATGCTTGTCACATTCGGAAAATCACCGAGTACCACCTTGGTTCGCCTTTCGAGCATTCAATTTTTCTCCTTGCACTGTCATTTTTGGCGACGATCAGCAAGGTTGCCTTTCTCATTCGGCTCATCGCCTTCTCTTTTGGAGTTTGCTGACTTGTCTCGATAGACACAAGTGCTCTGCATTGTCATTTTGAGCGAGGTCATGCTTACTAGGCGATCCGCCTTTCTCGTTTGACGATCAACAATGTATAGTTCGCACTTCTTTTTGCATTTTTGGCCATTTTTTCCAACATCAATCCTTGCCTTGTCCATTTTCTTGTCCATTGACATTAATTATTGAGCTAAATAGACCTCAAAAGAGTGCAAATCTATCACTCATCAAAAAGGGGTCGTTAGTTTATAGAGTTCCAAACTTTTCCTTTAAAGAAAGAATAATTAAATATGAAAGAGAGTTACATTTTCCTTTTAGGAAATGTAAAAGCAATTATAGTAGTGCTTTGACTTTCTTTCCCGAGAAAATTAAAATTCATATATGGTAAGAAAATCATGGCAAAACCCTAACAATTTTTTGTTGCATAACAATGCCGTCAAATGAGGAGAAAATCAATATAAACAAACATTTGGGAAAGCTTCAAAAAGCCCTTGCAAGAGATGAAAATGATCTAGAAGTTTGGAATTCTATGAAGAAAAAGACCACTTCCTTTATAAAGGAGCATCAAAAGAGACTGTTGAAAAATCAAGAGAGTATTAGTAACAGTGGAGATGACATTCATGTCATCGAGAAATAGAAATAAAAGAATTAGCTAAGTTAAAGAAGGATGTTGAGACAAGTCGCCACCAAACTCTTAGCCATAATTTTTTTCCTTAATCTTGTGTTCTGCATAAGAATGCTCTTTTCCTTTTTCTTTTTCTTTTTCTTTTTCTATTTATGATGTAGTGACAATCCTCTCTTTGATGAAATAAAAGAGACATCTTTTCCTAAAATTTCTTTTTCTTTTGCTTTATGTTTGAATGTCTTTTTGTGCTATATAACTTATTTTCAATTATCTACACCCTTGCGCTTTCATATTCATGGCAGGAGATTAATAACTCAAAACTATGAGTAACTTGTGCCGTTGAAATGATAACTCACAAAACTAAAATATGTATAAAAATCATGGCTAAAAGATCTTTGTATTTGTATAGATTTTTTTAAAAATATTTTGCTCGAATTCTATCTCGCACAGCTTTCCAGCTTTGAACATCTGTGGTAGAAAATTAATAACTTGATGTAGCGATGCCGGAATAACGAGCTTCTTGTTCCATTGGACGCATAATTCATAAGAATATAATATATGTAAAAGTTGTGGCCAAAGGATTTCTGGATTAGTAAAGACTTTTTTCAAAGTTCATTTGAATTCTACCTCGCTCAATTTTTCAGGATGTAGCGTCTATGATAGAAAATCAATCACTTAGCTAGCGTCTGGCCATAGATTTCCAAATATTTTTTGTAAATATTATTTGGGTGAGAATTTGAGTGAACTTTCACAATGTGTTTGGCCATACTTTGGAAAATATATTTCACTTTTTTAAGAAATATAATTTATACCCGTAAGTTTTAAAAACTATCAAAATTAACCATAGGTTTGTATTACATAGCAAGATAGAAACATTGACGTAACAAGATTCATGACTTCTGCAACAAGTCAACTGGATCTTCGTTGTAGCAAATAACAAGTAGTGTCCATGACATTGGAGCAATGCGGTAGTTTGGAGTGAGTGCAACAAGCATCATTCCATACATCGTGAAGTAGACGAAGCACATGACTGTATCACCCTAAGACAATTGTTCGTCATTTTCATGATCAACCATATCATCACTTTCATATTCACTGAATATTTCATCACAGCTTTGATTTTCACGTAAAAAATTATGTAATACAACGCAAACAAATACTATAGAGGGTGTTTTTGTAAAAGATAAAAGTTTAGTGTAGAATTTGAATTTTTAAAAATTCTCAAATAATGAGATTTGACCCAAATACTAGTTTTTTCTAGTATTGGAAATTTGGGTTATTTGCCAAATAATGGCAAATTATATAAACAAATACTATTTGCCAAATTTTCTCCCAAATTTTACTTGGAAAATCTATGACCTATCGGGTCCTAGTGTAGGAGCGTTAGAATGATTAGTTTCTTGTTCTTTTAGAAAGATAACTCATACAAATACAACATATATAAAAATCATGGCCAAAAGATATTTGT